ATAGCTTTTGAAACTGTAAAAACTGAAGAATTGTTTTTATTATCAATATTGAATCTCAATTCTGAATGTTCAATATGGACATTAGAATTTGTAAAACTTGAGCCTCTGAAAGCGCTCTCTTCCTCTGTTCGAAGAGTTTCTTCTTGTGACTTTTTCTTTTCCTCTCCGTGATGAACTACATCAGGTTCACTAAGTTCTTCCTGATTTTCATGATTTTCTTCTGTTGATGTTAACCTATCTGTACTTACTCCTACATTGCATTTCCATTCACTTAAGTCCAGATCTTTCTTATCTTTAAAATATTCTTTAAAAGCAATACAAGTCTCTTCCCCATTTTCTAATTTAATACACTTGTTTTTTAACTCGTTATAAATTCTGATATGTTCATCAAGATATTGTTTAAAGTTACTATTACAAATCCTTTGGCCCGTACTAAAATAATTTTTAAGCGTATCATAATCCTTCGAAAAATCAAATAACAGCTTAATATCCCTATAATTTTCTCTATCGACATTAAATTTATTATCATGACATATGTTCCGACCATCATTATTTTGAAGTAAAAAATTAAGTACTGTTATAACACGTATAGAATGTAATTGATATGTTATATTAGAATATATTATATAATTTAACCAATAGTATAGGTAATCACAATCATCACTATTAAAGTTCTCACTTTTATATTTTTTATATATATAACATAAGGAATTAAGTATTTGCTCAGAAACACCCTTCTGCCATTTCTCTTGATTTAGACCTGACTCCACATATTTGTAAAAAGATGCATCCCTACAACCTACATCACGATTATTGAAATTAGCGTACTTTTGTTTTGAAGGTAATTTATTAAGGTCATCATCCTATGAATATAAAATAAATGATAAAATGAATATTTTTTATTTATAAAAAAAAATAAATAATTTAATTAGAAATATCTTATCTTAAAGTAAATAACCATTTACATTATATAAAAAACATACCTCTAACTGAGCTACCATTATTAACAAATGTTAAAACGTGATATATAAACCAAATAAAAAAAGCATATATCTCACTGTTTATTTACTAATGTACTGATAATTTTCTAACAATATTTATAAGTATATATATGGTGCAATTTTGAATAAGGAATTTGAGTTATTCATTCTGTCTATTTTTATAAATCTTTATGATACCTTATTATTTTAATATTATTGTCAATGAAATATTGATATGTACTTGTTTATAAATTATATACTACATAGATATATATACATTAACCACCGTAAAATGATATTTACAATGTGAATGTGAAATGAATTTTTTGGTATTCATACTAATGTACAAAATATTATAGGAATGTTACAGTTATAATATATATTATATATAAACAATGTTTTTAAGCCAAAGTGTCATGGATACTATAGGTTAAATTAAACATTTTAAGTTTTTTTATACAAAATATTATTATTTTTATATCATATATATAATTTATATTAATAATGGTTCATTGCTTATATTATAAAAATAAATAAAGCTATACTTCTTCACGCTAATGTTTTGGTTGACTTCTTAAAATTTGTTATTATTTTCTGAATTCGTAAAGTTCTCCCCAATTTTCATATTATATTTATTAAGTACTATTTATATATTGTTGATATTAATATTAATATTTTAATTCGCAAGAAGAAATAAATTATAAATATTTTATATTTATATCTTACTATCATAATTTGATTATTATAACATATAAAATTTTTTTTATATTCTATTATATATTTACTGGAAATAATATGAACACATAAAATTCTTTATATTTTTGTATTTTCCTTATCGGAAAAAATATATATTTTAATTAAAAATTTGGGAGTAATTTTTTTTTAAACATATATGTAGTTATTAGTTTGTAATAAGGATAATCATATTATTCAACAGTAGAATTAATATTTATGAAAAGATAAGTTTATTCAATGAAATATATTTTTTAAATATCACTTATAAATATTGTATAATTACAAATATGTAAAAGTAATTAATTCATAAGAGCATTACTATGTGAGGTAAAAATATATTTGAGCATATTTTATTATTTACCTTTATCCTAGTTATATCATATAAAAATTATTTGTGCATAAGCAGAACAATAACGTGATTATTTATTATAACAATTTTTAATCTAATTAAATAAAATTTGTTGTATTTAAATCTATGTATGATGTTTGTAATTTCTATAAATTTAATGTACTTTTTAAAAATCTTTATTATTACAATTTTTTTTTGTGTGTTATTAATGATTATATAATCTACAATATTAATGGCTCATAAATACATATGTTAATTTATTGTAATTTATAATTATATTGCAAAACATATAATTTTCTTTATGTTGAATGCATTTTATCATGTATATTGCAACAGATTAAAAATATAACCCTGAACCCTAAAACCTAATGTACGTCTCTATATTAAACAATTGTTCTATAATTTTTTTTCAAATAAAATACAAGATTCAATGAAACTAGTAAATTAAAAAATACAATATCAGTATATACTATACAAATTATTTAAGAAAAGTATCAATTGTTAAGATAATAACAAATGTAAATATAAAAATAAAAAATAATATTATTTAAATGTACATATATTTAATACATTCTATGCTTTTATTATAAGGTCCAATAAGAAATAGTAATATTGTTCTATTTTTTTTAAGTATGTTGTTTTTCTTTACATATATAAATTGTATTGTAAAAATTTTCTTTATGATATCTTATGCTCTATGTGAGCAGACGACGCTTTCATTATAATTATTTACAAGAACTG